AAGCTTAGAACGGATTCCAAGCAGGCCAATGTTCAGAAGACGTTCCTAATTTTAGCTATATGTTGAAATCCAGAAATAGATCATTTTTCTCCTTATGTCAAACTTATATGCATCAGCTTTTCTCAGGACTATTTTTATGTAAGAAGAAGTCTCTCTTGTAATCCTGGAACATTAAAACAAACAAAGAGAAATGAGAAATGACTCTCCCGTTACTCCAGAACCCCATGGTATAGGGCGAAAGATAGTACAAGGGTTAAGGTACTGGCCTTGCCTGTGGCTGATTCTGGTTTGATCCCTGGAATCACATATAGTTCCCTGAGCACAGGACAAGGAATAGATTTGAGCACTGCTGGGTGTGGTCCCACAACAACAACAAAAACAGAACCCCACTATGCTAGCTGGAAGACAGTGCATCATCATCACCCACTCTGTGTCCCAGAAAAATTGGGGCCCCTGGTGAAGGATCAAACTCCAGAGAAAACCAAGATATTCACACCAATAGGGGCTCACTCTGGTGGACAAACATGTATTTTGACTTCATCTTGCTGCCTGTCCTGTGAAGTAACATTAGTTACAGTTTCACGACACTGAATTGAAAGGACACAGCCAAGTTCACAGAGCCGGTAGATTCTAGTGTAGACCTGAGCAATCCAGACTCCTGTCCACTTTACGTCTTGGACCACACAACATATCTAAGTTGTGTTTAGAAGGAAAGAAATGGAGAAGAAAATGGGAAGAAAAGAAAAGAAAAGAAAGAAGTTACCGCAGTCATTTTAAATCACAGCTCAAACCCAAATGCTTCAACAAGGAATGCTTCTCCTAATCAAAAAGACCCTGTGAGAGCTTGCACTCATGACTCGAATTCCTCTCCCCCTCAGACCTAGGACTCCATTCCTCACACAGAACAAACAGAAATTTCCCACCCCTCAACTCTGTGACATGTGTCTCTAGTCACACACATGAGGTGAAAGAGATCATGTGTCAGTTTGAGGATGAAACTTCCAGAGCCCTGCCTGCTGCGCCCAGCACTTGGGCAGCAGTGGGGCCAAAAAGCGCCCCAAGGGACACTGAGGGGTGACTCAGCTCAGGTATCCACCCAAAGCTCCCCCCTCCACCACCACCCCCCACCCCCCGCAGCAGCAGTGCCTCAGACAAAGAGTCCTCAAGAATGAGACTGGTGAGGGATGCAGTGCTGCCAGCAGGTGAACCTGTCCCTGCAGGCGAGCGCATCAGCAGCCTGACGGTGCTTTCAGGCTTCCTGAAACTCCCAAATTGCCACTGTGCCTCTGGCCAGACCAACATCACGGGCCAAATTTCCCAAGACATTAAATAGCCAAAAGTTAGATATGTGGGAGCCACACCCACAAACCACCTCCAGCTCAGCTATCCAAGCTCATTTATCAGCCTTGCTTCAGAGACCCATAGATAATCTCAAAAGAGATCAAAAGCCGCGGTTCCTCTGAGATCCTCACGTGGCTGAACAGACCAGGGTAAATCTGAGGGGGCCAGATTAGCCTGGTGCAACCCCCCAGGAGAGCCCCCCACCCTCGGGCAGCCACTTTCTTCCACAATCCAAAAGCACCACCATGTCTCAAGACAGACCTTATCAAGATATAATCTGCTGAAAATTCAGGCTGGAAGCATTGGATTTGGGAGCAATCAACCTCTGATTGAAAGTGACTGGATTAAATTCCAAAATGTAAATTCACACTAATAGACATCAGCTCCGTGAAGGAACGGTTTCAGTCTGTTTTGTTCTGTGCTATAACAGACCCATAGTAAGTGTGCAAATAGCTGTTGAATGAAAAAATATGCTACTTTGTTGCAAAGAAATAAAAAGAGTGAGACTGGTGGGAGCTGCCTGTAGTGTAGTGGGGTCCCCATCTCTGTAAGAATCAGTCTAGAGGAGTCCTTCCAGGAAAGCTGTTTGGAAAGAATTAGGACCCTAGCAGGAACACTGGATTTGGGATTCGGACAGGAGCCAAGTGAAAGCATTAGGAAGCAACTTTGCCTTTAGCTTTTCAGAGCAAAGGTAACATAAACAAACGGCTACTGTTTACTCTCTCCCCCTCCAGAGAGGACATCCGAGCATGCAAACCTGGGAAAGGATATCGCCTTAGAATACAACACCGTCCTCGCAAACAGAGGTGGTCCCCCCTCCCTCCCCGCGTGACTGTTTTTCTCTCCCCTTCTGTCGCAGATCAATGAAAGCTTTGTCACTGAAGAGCTCCAGCCTGTGAATTAGCAACCTTCCCCTGTGCTTTACGGTGGAGGTGTCAGAGCAAAGGAAAGTAGTTACATAAATTGCGAGGCCTAAATCATGTTTCTGTTTGTTCTGTGACAGTATAAAAATTACATTTTTTCATCAAGATAGAAAATAAAGATAAAGGATCGAAAATAAAGCTAAGAATAAATGTAAAAGCACTTCTGTCATCATTTCTCAGTTTGACCCCACCCCCCGCCACCAGGCAGCACAGAGCAGATAGCAGCCCCTCCCAGACTCCCAGCCCCTGAACCTCTGAGTTGCTTTCACACAGGAGCCTGCAGTGCCAGATGCGTGCCTCCGTGACCGTCAGAGAATATAACGGGGAAGGAAAGCAGTGACTTCAACTCAAGCTCTCCAGTGGGCTGCAGAGACACGTCAGAGAGGCAGGGAATCCCAGGAGCGGTTCCAAGGACACAGGATTCTGTCGCCCAGAAATGGGCACTGTCTTCTTCTTGCCAAGCCATCCTTCTTGTAGGAGGTGTCACAGCCTGGAAGCGGTCAAGACTTCCTAGTTGTTTATAGATAAGAACTTCCCTAAATATGTATCGCGGTGATCAGACTCAGTCGTAATTCAAAACTTTTCGGTTTCATGTATGCCATGCTGGCTCTGGCCACAGGTGACCCGCCATGGAATGTGTCTGTTCCAGGCATGTGCAGGGCCAGTGTGTAGCTGGCATGACCCGCTTTTCCCTCTCCTCTTTCATGAGACCATCAAAGATTCTAGTAAAGGCAGCTCCTTCAACCTGAGGTCTTGCAACATGGGTCAAAAGTAAATCTTTGATTGTAGAAGTCACTTGGAGGGGAATCTGACCAGCACTTGAATGCGTTTGATGAGTAGCAAAGGGGCTGAAGTGACAGTATAAAGGTAAAGCACTTGCCTTGCAGGTGGCCAGCTCCAGTACTGCATATGGTCCCCTGAGCACCACCAGGAGCGATCCCTGAGCACAGAGTCAGGAGGAAATCCTGAGCACCACCAAGTCTGGTCCATAATCCTCCTCCCCCACCCCCACAAAAAGAAGCTCAGTGGAATCAGAGACAGAAGTGTCTTAGAGGTTTTCTGGACATAGCCCCTGGGCCGATGAGAAGCAGAGGTGAGAGTCAAGATAAAAGACCCTGATCCCCAGAAGCTCAAGGCCAGAGGAAGGCACTCTAGCTTCTCACATGTGGCCCAAGGCTTTCTGTCTACACCCAAGTTTGATCATCCTGAACCAGGCCTCTTTCTGTTCTGAGAGGACTCACACACCAAGGGTCCAATGCAGAGATACAAAGAGGGGACCCAACCCCAGCTCTGACACTTCTTGTTCACCTTCAACTGTCATTCCCTTAGAGGCCTACTATGGCAGGGATAAGGGACATGAACAGATCTTTTACTTCATAAGCGCATATCCAGGTCAAAAATAGAAAAATAAGCCAACAACAAGTTAAGTACCAATGGCGTAAGTACTCTTCAAGAAAGAAAAGGGATAGCCTGAGAGAAATTGCAGAAGACTGCTGTAAGAGGCTTATGAGTGACCTTTCAGAGGGGGGAATATAAGATAAAATGAAAAATTCAAGACACACAAGAGGTACTGTGTAGACTAGTCCACTTGCCAGGAGGTCAGCAGGAGGGACACCGGCAGGGAAAGAGCATACGGGCAAGAGGACTCAATTACGACCCAGGAACTCCTTGGGAAAACCCAAGCCCAACGCTGGCAAGGGAGGAAAGATTCAGAGATCAAGGCCACACTTATCCAGAGAAAGTCTGGGCAGACTGCTGGAGAATGAAAAGCAGAAAGGAGTCTGTGCCATATGAACCAGCCCCCAGATGGCCTGCCAGCTGCCTGGCTCAGACTGTCTGATCCTCGCCCGGCTGAACTGCCCAGTTGATTCGGAAACTCAAAATAACTAACAAATGCTTTTTCTTTCTTTAGCCACCAAGTGCTGGGGGTGATTTGTTAGGCAACAATAGCTGATATGGAGGGGTCTGATATTCTCACTTCCCTGTCTCCAGCCCTGCTGAAATCACAAAACTGATTTCCTGTCTGAGGCCTCCACAAATTCCCCTCATTGGACAGAGGCCTTGGGACACACAAGCCTGGAACTTGACTTTGAAAACACCCTTGCCTCTCTGGGGCTGTTCTTATCTATAAACAATTAGAAAGTTTTGACACCCAGCCCTACCATTCGGTGTTTGGGCAGCGTTCCTGCATCTCATCAGCAAGGATCTCTGCTCTGTGTCCGATTGCTGAGGATGCAGTTCCGACCAAACTGTTTTAGAGGCCTGCCCACCAGGACCCTGTGTCCACTGAAATTCATAGCCTGGTCAGTCCAGAAAAGATGCCTCTGAGGCACCCTTGAAGGCCAAGGAGATGGGGAAGTGGGGGCAGTGGCAGGAGAGTTCCGATGTTCCAAGAACATGTTCCGATCCTCAGTGATTCCAGCCTCCTGCTGGACCCTGCCATGCCCAGGGCCCTAAGAACTTGGACAAAGGTCACCCTCCATCTTTCAGTCCTGGGGAAATCAAAAGTAGTGCCTTAAACTGAACCAATCATTAAACAAATCAAGGAGTTCTGTGTGCTAGGGGGCGGGGGGGGGGGGGGCGGTGTGAGGAGTGCGGTTCTCTGCTTCCATAACCCTGAGAGATGGCCTGAACTTTGTGGGGGGTCGAGTCCTCCACTCCACTCGATTAGAGCGCCCCCCCCAGGCCTCCTCCCTAATCCAGACACCAGCTGAGAGGTGCAATGCCCCGTCCTACCGTGGAACCAGGGGGCAATGCATCTAGTGCTCCTTTCAAACCCGGCCCGGCGTGGCAGTTGCTCCTCCTTAAACCAGCGGACAATGACATCTCTGGAGAGGGGACGCAATGGACGCTCCCACGACCTGCTGGAAACAGAGGGAGCGGGGGAAGGGAAGGGAGGGAGAGAGGAGAAGAGCCAGAGTGAGAAGAACAAGCACCAAGCCCACACTCCTGCCTGCAGAGAAGATAAAGCAAGCCGACACTCAAAGGCACTTCGCAGATTCTAATGTAACAACAGATATTCTCTTTCCCAAGAGAAAACTGTTATCACTTATTTGGGGGGAAAAAAAAGCTGCATGGGTGGGAGTGAAGAGAGGAAAGGTGGGGGTGCTCTGGAGGAAAGAGGAGTCCTGTTTCCCCTCTGAAATCGCCAGTCCCCCATTCCTCACCCCCATTCGTGAAAGGTGCGAATGCAACGGGAGCAAAATGGGAGTATTCCCTTGTACCCCGCCAAAACCCCTTTGGGAAGAAGACACTGACTCTCCCCATCACTGGCCTTCTAAGGGGGCAGCTCGCTGCCTTTGTCACCAGCTTCCATGCTTTTGTAAGGCAGAATCTGACTGCAGACAGGGAGAAGCAGCAGAGTTGCTCATTTAGCTCCCAAAAGGTTGATCTGCCCCTCCGAAGAGGGAGAAAGGACAAAGGAAGAGAGAGAGAGAGAGAGAGAGAGAGAGAGAGAGAGAGAGAGAGAGAGAGAGAGAGAGAAAGGTGCCAGACACAGCCTTCAGGAGGGGCTGCCAGGAGCACTTCACAGGAGGTATCCAGTGAGGGGGCTTGAGGATCCTGAGAATGGAGATCTTGAGAATCAAGAGGGGCACTGGAGGAATTTCCAAGTAAGAACAGTAATGAGATACGTTTTCCATGTTTTCTCACAAGAAAGCCAAGAATTGTGTCCAAACCGTGACTCCTGACTTCACACAGGTGCCGGTCACATGAGAGGCATTTGAGTTGAGCAAACCTGGAAGAAGCACGTGGAAGAGTTCCCTAGCGCATGAGGCCCAGAAGGCCCCCAGCAACTCTTACTGTTTGTGGAATACGTAGCAAGAGCACATTGGGGAGGGGAAGTATGGCTGGGGTAGGGGAGCACGGTTGTGGAACAGCAACCAAGGAGCCACTCCTGGTAATTCTCAGCCTTGCAGGTGGCAATGTGGCACTCCTCAGGCCCAGCGGTGCTGAGCCTCCAGGGAAATGCCTGGCAATTTTCAGAGGCCCCTGCAGTGTTGGGAATTAAACTTGGGGCCTTGTGCATGGAAGGCATGCATCCCTGCACCCCCTGGAGCTATCTCCCCAGTCCCTGGATGAAAATACATCACCTGAGGAGCAAAGCCCCTTAGCCCTGCTGTGAGAGCTGTGGAGCGACACGCAATGGGGACTCGTCCTCTGCCATGAGGTGCCAGCCTTTAGCATTCACCATCGTTGTCTTACTCATTGACCAAGCCAGCATGGCCTCCCCACATAAGATGCCTCTGTAGGTGCCCTGCTCACCAGCTCCTTGGCACTGAGTTCAGCACTCCCTACAGACCCCCAAACTGAGTTCTGTGGGTGATCTTTCACCTGCCCGGGAAGGAATCTAACTGCATGCCTGTACACAGGAGGGGAGGCGTTAGGAAAGCTGCCATACCAAGAAGGCAGAGAGCCCAGTGCCTGGCTTACGGCCATTGTCCATCTGGCCTGTCTTCCAAACCCCTTGTTCCCCATCGCTTCCTCCCTAGATTGTCCCTTACATCCCTTTCCCACCCCCAAACCAGCTTTGCTAACTACTGCCTCTGACCTCCAGGATGCCCCCTTTGCAGTAACCTGAGAGGCCATTCCCCCTTATTAAGTAGCACCCAGCAGGGGCGGAGCAATAGTACAGTGGGTAGGGCATTTGCCTTGCACGTGGCCGACCCGGGTTCAATTCCCAGCATCTCTTATGGTCCCCCCAGCACCACCAGGAGTAACTCCTGAGTGCATGAGCCAGGAGTAACCCCTGAGCATTGCTGGGTGTGACCCAAAAAGGAAAAAAAAAAAGTAGCACACCACAGCCCTGCTCAGCCTCTTCACATCTGATTGCCCTGCCAATAACTGAGCTGGGGGTGGAGGGCAAGGATTTTCTGGTTTCTAGGACTCATTTTCCTTAGAAGGCAAGAGGAAGTTACAAATCACAGTGAGTAAATGCATTCATTCCCATCCCTCTGTTTCTAAGCAGAGATTCCGGTCCTCCCGTTATTCATCGATTTTGCTCAAGCGGGCCCAGTAGCATCTCCATCATGAGACTTGTTACTGTGTTTGGCATATTGAATACTTCACAGGCAGCTTGCCAGGCTTTGCCGTGTGGGCGAGATACTCTCGGTAGCTTGCCAGGCTCTCCGAGAGGGGCGGAGGAATCGAACTCGGGTCGGCCATGTTGGCCGCTTGCAAGGCAAATGCCTTACCCACTGTGCTATCGCTCCAACCCAGCAGAGATTCCATTCTCAAAAAATACACATTAAGGCAGAGTGATAGTACAGAGGGTAGGGCGACTGCCTTGGGCACAGCTGCCCTGGGTTCAATCCCCAGCATCATCAGGAGTGATCCCTGAGCATATAAACCCTGAGCACCCCAGAAAAAAAAATTCAAATACCTGGATGGGGTACTCCAAAAATCCATCTGACCCAAAACTCTGACATGTACTCAACCCGCCCTAAAATTAGCTATATGTGCTTGCCCTCAGCACACGGAGTGGGGGTGGGTGTGCCCAGCAGAGGTGCTGGCAGTGAGATTACAGGGTGTGTCCTTTGCAGATGTGGCCGGCAGGAGGTGGCTTCAAATGAGATGTCTTGGGGGGTCTTTGCAGAGGCATATTTTGGAGAGAAGAGGCAACTCAGTTTCTTAAGCTTCTGAAAAAGAATCTTGGAGGCCAGGAAGGTTGAGTCTCCCAGGCGTATTAGAAATTTCAGAGCCCTCAGGAATATTGTCCCATAGTTGGAAGCCTGTCTCATGAACTGGGGGAGAAGGCATCCGGAATAGAGAAGAAATCACTAAGACAATAATGGTTGGAGGAATCGTTCAGGATGGGAGATGTGTGTTGAAAGTAGATAAAGGACCAAACGCGATAACATCTCAGTATCTGTATTGCAGACCATAATGCCCAAGAGAGTATGGAGAAAATTGTCTGCCATGGAGGCACAGGGAGGGTTGGAAAGGGGACATTGGGGACATTGATGGTAAAGAATGTAGAGAATATGCACTGGTGGAGAGATGTGTTTTTGATCACTGTATGAATGAAACTCAAACATGAAAGCTTATAACTGTATCTCACGGTGATTCAATAAAAAAAAAAAAAAAGGAAAGAAAGAAATTTCAGAGCACTACTCCTCTCGGGCGCACTGTTGTCCTACTCCTCCGATTGGCACACTGAGGCTCACCTAGGGGAAATAATCGGTCATCAGTTTCCCAGCAGGTCAGAGGTAGAGCCGGAGGGACTCCACGCGGCCTCCCACCCTCAGGAACTCAGGGATGCATAGTCCTTTCAACCCACCTAACAGGCAAGGCCATTGGGGACAGTGGCCCCAAGCTGGGCGGGTGCTGACTGAGTCTCCCCTCCTGCTCCTGGCTCTGTCCCAGCTCTTGGAACCTGGAGCTGAGGCCCGCGACGGTGCCCTTCTGGATGGCACGAAGCGAGTGTCGCCGGTACTCGTCCCGGGCACGCTGCGCTCGGCGGCTCCTCTCCTCGTCGGCCTCCTTGGAGCGTCGCACTGGGAAGGAGGAGAGAGGGTGTTTGCCACAGCCCTGCACCTCCCGCACCCCTCTCCCGGTCCAGAGCTCACCCACATTCACCCATGGGGCCTTCAGAGAGGCTCGTGGCAGGGCCGACCTAGCCCTGGGGTCAGCTGTCCCTGCATGAATAAAGCCCCTTGAACCGTTTCAGGTCTACTGGCTGAGCCGTGGCTCTGCGCATGCGCTGGGTGGGAATTTACCCTGCAAACGGGTTTCTCCCTAGGAGAGGCCTGCTCAGTCCAGCCCCTCGGACCCTGGCTTGCTGCCCCGCCTCCTGGACACCTGCCAAAGTCATCACAGCAGCACACACCACGCCCCCCACCCCGACAACTGCAGCTTCCTCTGGGCTGAGCCCCGGCTCTATGTCCTCCCTGCCAAGTTCTTGCTGTGGACACTGGCCCGGCCACTCCGGGGAGAGGGACATCACTGTACAGCAGAGCAGAGCACCAGCCGCCAGGAATAGCTTGATCAAGGCTAAGGGACAATCCAGGGCTGGACCTCAGGGGCGTGGGACCCTCAAACCCAGCTACAAACCTCATCCCAGCACAATCAGCTTCTCAAACATCTTTCCTTTCCAAACCAGGGGTTCACAGAGAGCCAAAGGAGCACTGGGACCCTCCAAACCCTCCTTCTCTAATCACTCATGTGGAAACCGAGGTCAGGGAAGAGAAGTGACTTGTCCCCCAGCCCGGGTCAGGAGCCAAGCAGGTCAGCAATCACCTTTCTGCTCCATTAGGGTTGTCATAGACCCTGAGGTCCCGGTTCTTCCCTCACTCGGGTTTCCTGTGGCCCTGACAGCTGTGAGTGTGAGCACTGGATGGGGCAGAGAGAGGAACTGGGGTGACTCCTCTTCCTCCACAGCTAACAAAACTCCAAAACCCCGTGTCCCCAGCCTCCCACCCTTCAGACTGGGTCCTGTCTCGCTCGGCATGTGGTTGTGAAAAGGCAGCTTCAGAAATGCAAGCTGAGAAGATGCAGAATGGACAAAACCAGGGAGACGTGAGGTCCGAAACAGACACTTGAACATTATCTCGTTGCATCTCGTCAGGCCGTTTTCTGCCCCTAAAAGCCAGCCGGTTGGTAGAGAGCAGTTGACATTGATCTTGTTCTAGCTGCACACAAACTGGCCATTGTTCTGAGCCAAACAGGTCACCTTTCCCTCCTGGAATAAAAATCTAGCCTGTCATTCTACCCCAAACCCCTTTCAGTACATCTATAGCAACTCTGATGACAAACATCAGAGATACCTGTGTTGCAGAAGTTGCAAGCGAACAGGCCAAAAGCTGCGGCCTGGAAGCATTTCTGCCTCACGGGTGCCAGAGAACCCCTTCAAAACATAACGGCCCTGAGATCTGAGTCTGCCCCTCAGAAGGTCTCATGGGTGTGGAGTCACTGCAAGGGACTCAGTCGGCTGTGAGCTCCATGAGGGGTGAGGGGATTCTCTTTTTATTCCAGAACATGGCAAGCAGATGACATGTGCTCCTGGGTAACTATACACTGGAGAGAACTGAACTCCGTGCCGGGCCTCAACTGGATCTAGAAATCCCAGAGACCGGATAAGATCTTGCGTCCCTGGAGGCACTCAGACTCAAGCTGGGGAAATCAAAGAAATCCATCTCTCTAACACAGTGCAAACAAGGATGATACTGTCTTGTCAGGGTTTGAGGCCAGCAGCAGCCCCGAGACATGCAAGGGAGCAGGAACCAAGCAAAGGTCAAGAGGAAAAAACAGGAAGATGTCCCGAGGATCAGCAACCTGTGGGTGCCCGGTTAGCTCATCTGTAAGTTCCAGGCACTAAAAGCACTGTGATGTATGATTACTCTGTGTGTGTGTGTGTGTGTGTGTGTGTGTGTGTGTGTGTGTGTTGGGGACCAAGGTGTTGTAAGCATTGGACTGAAAACTAAACACCAGAGGCCTCCTTGTCCTACTAGACAGCAAAGCTCAGTACCAGTTCCAGGAGGAAGGATGGCAGGCCCTGAGCCATTGTCATGTAGACTAAACCTCCTATGACCCAGCTCCAGTCCTGCCATTTTCCTCCTCAAAAGTCTTCAATGATTCCCTCTTCACCCAGAGAAAAGGAAAGCCCCTTGGGCTGGTGGGCCCGGCCCTTCCTCAGCTCCTCCCCATAGTCTGTGCTCAGGCTCCGCCACACTCCCCACCGGCTGCAAACCCTGCGCTCTGCTACTGCCTGCCTGGTCCACCTTGATGAATGGGCAATCTGGCAGCTCAGACATGCCAGGAAATGGCACTGAGGGTACTCAGAGGGGAGGAAGTTGCTGAGACTGCAAGCAGGAAGCATCCCAGATCTTCCGGACACAGCCCAGGAGGTAGCTTGGCCAACCCTGCCAACCAACCAAAGGCAGATGTGGTGTCAGCCAGACTCAGGGTCAAGGGACAGCTTCACACTAGCTTTTGTCTTTTTTTATCTCTCTTTGCAGTTCTTACTGTATGTAATTGTGTATATTAAGGCATATACAATATGTTGATTTGATACATTTACAAATTACATTAAGATTATCACCATGGTAATAGCTAACACCTACCACATTCCATAATTATCATTTATTTTAATTTGGGAGAGTGGAGTCATACCTGGCCCTGCACGCACAGATCAGTCCTGGAGGTGCTCAGGAGATCATAACGCAATGCTGGGGATTAAACCAGGGTTGGCCATGGGCAAAGTCTTGTCCGCTGGACTAGCTCTGTGACCCACTATTTACTTGTTGTGGTGAGAACAAAAAAGATCTAGTCTCTTAGCAATTTTTGAAGTATATAACATGTCTATAATCAAGAAGCTGTTACGAGAACTTCAGAACTCATTTATATACCAACTGCAAGTACGTACCATTTGCCCAACATCTTTCCAGACCTTCCAGACACACACCCCGGTCCCCAGGAACCACCTATTTCTAAAAACTTTGTTTCACTCTGTTTCTAAAAACTCCATTTGGTCAGAACCCACCTATAAGTAGTATCACTCGATAATTTTTTTCTCTGTTTGATTTATTTCACTCAGTTTGATGCCCTCAAGATTCAATCCATGTAGTTGCAAATGGCAGGATTTCCTTTTACTCATGGCTAAATAATTTCCATTGACCAGAGAGAGAGAGAGAGAGAGAGAGAATCATATCCATTCACCTTTTAATGGATCTGGAGCTATATCTCTATCTGGCTCTTGGGACTAATGAGCATGGGAATACAGTGAACATGAGAATGCTGGTATCTCTTCAAGATCCTGTATTGTTACTTGGACTATAAACTCATAAATGGAGTTGCTGGATCATACGGTAGCACTGTTTTCACTTTTAATAACTTGCATACCATTTTCATAGTGATAACACCAATTTACACTCCCACAAAGTGGACAGGGCATACTCCGGTTTCTCTTCAGATCGCATAAATCTTTCGCCTTTTACAAAGTACACAGGGTTCCCTTTGCCCACCTCCTCTCCAACAACCCACTCCAACTTCTTAAAGTACCTGAAGGCCTCAGTTTCCATCTCTATCAAAATGAGGGGAGAACAAAGCTGGGATAGAGAAGGGATCACTAAGTCAATGATGGTTGGAGGGATCACTCAGGATGGGAGATGTGTACTGAAAGTAAATAAAGGACCAAACATGATGACCTCACATTAACTGTATTGCAAACCATAATACCCCTAACTAGAGATAAAGTAAGAGATAAATTGTTATAGAAGCAGGGGGAAAGTTGGGATGTGGGAGGGAGGGATACTGGGGACATTGATGGTGGAACATGTGCACTGGTGGAGGGATGGGTGTTTGATCATTAATGGCTGAAACTCAAACATGAAAGTTTTGTAACCATAGCTCACAATGATGCAATAAAAAAAATTTTTTTAAATAAGATTGACAAGTCTGCCGTGCTGAGCTAGTATGAAAGTTAAATCAAATCTAGAAAAAAACACTAGAAACAGAAGAATTTGGGGAAAGCTTTATCAGATTAAAACAGGCCTCTGATCTTGACCCTTTCTTCGGATCTCCCAACACCTGAATCTGGAGCTAGGCTGCCTGGGTACCAACTCCATTTACAGCGTGTGACCCGAACAAGGAATCACCCTGACTGGACTTCCATCTCCTCTCAATGAAATGTAGATAGTGCAGGTGTTAAGGCACTTGCCTTGGATGGACCAACCTCAGTTTCATCCCCAGAACTGAATACGGTCGCCCGAACACAGCCAGGAGCACTAGCTTCAGGGTACCACTGGGTGTAGCCCAAAATCAAAACACAAAAGACAAACATGGAAAAGTAACGCCACGATTCCCCTCTGAGCAGTAGGTAGAAAGCACTCTTCTAATTTCTTCTTCAGCTTTCCCTTCCAAGTTCTACTCTGACTCACCCCAGCTCCTGTGCTCTCCACCAACAAGCCCTTTCTATTCTGTCTGTCCCAAGCACACAGTGTCTTAGGAGCACTGGTGGCAGAGTCAGACTCCAGGGCACACAGCGCCCCCTTCTGGGAGGGAAAAGAATGGAGGCGTGACTGGCCTCAGGACTGGTCCTCTTTGCCTGTGTCTTCTCAATGGGCTCTGACAGCAGCTTTGCAGGACCCAGACAACCAGAGCACAGGGTTTTAAGTGGTGGTTTCGGGAAACCAGGAAGGTCAAGAAGCTGGTGGGTGGAGGCTGGAGCGATAGCACAGCGGGTAAGGCATTTGCCTTGCACATGGCTGACCCGGGTTCGATTTCCAGCATACCATATGGTCCCTGAGCACCGCCAGGAGTAATTCCTGAGTGCATGAACCAGGAGTAACTCCTGAGCATCGCCGAGCGTGACCCAAAAAGCAAAAATAAAGAAGAAGCTGGTAGAGGCATCAACGATAGTCTGGTGACAGCTGTAAGTCACTATTTCCATTTCTAACCATTGAGTGGGGAGAAAAAGGTGGGCTGGGACTTAGCAGGTGCTGGAGGCTGCTGGTGGTGGAGCTCAGGGCACCATGGGGAGCCAAGGATGGAAGCAGGC